GGTGAACCCACAGTCACATCCATGTTGCCCGGGCGAGCTCACCGCTGCCAGTTCAACCCTCCTGGGAGGGGATAAAAATCAACCCTTGCCTGAGAGGAACCTTGGAGGATGTACGGGAGTTCATCAGGCAGTCAGAGACAAAAGCATGCAACTGGGGAACACTGAGTTTAGGGAACTCTAAGGAGGTCTGTTTGTGATAAGAGTAAAAATTGTAAGGTGTCAGAAATGGGAATATGTTATCACAGAATATTCAGTAAAGTTCCCTGTTAGTTATCTATTTTAGGTAAAGTACTGTGTATATGTTCATCCCAATCTCCTAATTTATCACTTCCCCCCACGTTCCCCCTCTGGTAACCGTAAGTTTGATTTCAAGATCTGTGAGTCTGTTTCTGTTTTGTAAAGAATCTGAAAAAGAATGGATTCACTTTGCTGTACACCTGAAACTAACACAACACTGTAAATCAACGGTACTCCAAAAAAAAAAAATGCATTTCAAAGCTTCAAAAAAAAAAAAAAGGGAATATGAACGTCAAGTATTATACCATAAGAATGTACTTTTCAAATCGTAAGAAGCTGGACAAATATTAGGTATTTCTGTTACCCATCTCCCAGGGTCATTGAGACCAACTAGGCATGTAAACAACGGCTTACTGGTATACCCCAGAATAGATATGATTTCATTATAAAATGTTATGTCATAATACAATCTTTTGGATGCAGCTGGCTTCACTGCCAGACCCCAGAGATCTGGAAAGGAACCTAAGCCTCTATATTAAATAGGTAAGTGAGTTTCCACGAGGTTCTACTGAATATGGTTTACACGTGTCTCTTATGCAAGTATCTGGTGATCACATAAAACTCATGCCGTTTAGATACAAATATTGACACAGATAGATGGGATCTGGCTACGTAATGAGTGAATATGAGCATTAAAAACATTTCCGAGTCTTTACTTACCTATATTTTATTTTAATCTATGTTTAATCTAGCAGTGTGCAAAGGTATAAAAATAATGTATGTATTTTTAAGTGGTCTCATACTTAATAAAAATTACAAACTTGAAAATTATAAAAAAATATAAAAGTGGCAAGCTTTGAGAAACCACAGAAGAAATGTTAATGAAAAATTAGAGAAGAAAGTACATGATGATAAGACTAAATGAAACGCTACAGTGATGAGGAAGGACAAGACATACTACAGCAGAGCAACTGGACATTAAGAGAAAAACAATACACCAGAGGTCTAATTAAACAGAAGTACCGACTGCAAGCAGCTGATGAGCTATAATCCACTACGACGACGTTACAACACTGAGCAGCACAGTGTAAGCTAAGGGGACAGATCCACATCAGGTAAACCTACCAGAAACGATCATAACAGAAGGTCCACGGGAAGGAGGAAGAAGGGCTAAGTTTATACGGGGCTGTCACAATTTCACATCTGCTATGATACCTAGCCCTTATGTCCTAATGTGCTGTGGGCCTGCTCTGACTGGGCCTCTGTTTCAGCTGGTTGGGGTCCACCTTGCCCTAGTTATTAAATCCTTTGACCATAATCTCTGCCCAAGCTGAATATCTGTAGTTCCCTTCATGACGGGCCAAACAATTTTGAGTGCGGGAGCACTCACAGATTTTCCTTTCCCTAACTGACCACAGAGAATCGTCCAGTTGCCCCTACATTTTCCCTCAGCCTAAAAGGGAGGGATTCTTGTTGTTGCTGTTATTCTGGTTGCATCTGAGAGGCCAGGTTAATACCCACGATAAAGTCCTGCAGGAGGAGGAGAAGTGAAACGGTGGTCCAAGGCTTTCAACAGTCTCAGAGCAGCTTTGGGACGTGAGAGAAATAAACAGGAGGGGACATGGAGTTTAATAAACGTTGCTGTGAGCTACACACTGGGGTCTACGTTTATATCTACTGAGAAATGTGGGAAAATAAAATTCTTTTTGGATCGTAAATCGGCCTCTTACATGCATGCATCCACGAAGTGACCGCGATTCGCAGGCTGCAAAGACCCCTCCACACGACCACCTCTGCCGTTTCTCACTTTTCTTCTCACTTGCACTTCTACCCCTCTGGACTGCGTTTCACATTCTGACCCTACCAACACCTTTATCTGAAGCTTTCCTCAAGGTTTCTTCACCAACAAAACAGCCCAAGCAATCCAACCGGGTGTGTAATCACTTCTCCTTTGAAGTGTCATTAAACCCACCCTCGCATCCCCAGTGGCTGTTACCCCCAGTGCCTACGGTGTGAACTGGGTGTCCGCTCAGCTCTCACTGCAGGATCAGGATTTGAATTCAGGGTGCGCTAAGGCACTTACTGCTGTAACTGTGTCCAAGCCGCAGCCGTAAACTGTAAAGTTGGCTGCTTCAGTCACCTCATCCATTCTGCGGTCTTTGTAAATTTACGTCTTTTTAGAAAATCCCTTTTTAAAAATGAGGTTTTCATTAGGTTTTAGGAGAAAGGTTGATTTGGGCATACAAGTTACATCAGCCAGAAAATAGGTTATTAATAGAAAAAATTTTAAGGAGCAGTTTTGTAGGAAAGAGGGCTAGTTTGTGTTTATCTCAAGAGGCAACAGGCTAAATCTTTTTTTTTTTTTTTGCGGTACGCGGGCCTCTCCCTGCCGCGGCCCCTCCCATTGCGGAGCACAGGCTCCGGATGCGCAGGCTCAGCGGCCATGGCTCACGGGCCCAGCCGCTCCGCGGCACGTGGGATCCCCCCGGAACGGGTCACAAACCCATGTCCCCTGCATCGGCAGGCGGACTCCCAACCACTGTGCCACCAGGGAAGCCCTAGGCTAAATCTTTAAATAGGTTTTAAATGATTCAGAAAATCCTGAGGTGGCAACTCCATGATCAATTAAGAGTTAAATTTCTTAATAAAATGGAGCAGGGGATGGAGATCAGATCAGATGGTCTCTGAGGTCTCCTATCCTGCAAATTCCATGAATCTGTTCCGTTACTAGTGGACCCAGGCATTTGTGGGGAGGGACGCTCCATCCTTCTGAAGCTGAGATCACGGTGTTCTCAGGGGCTGAGTCATGTCTGTGACCTGGGATGTGGCCGTACGTGTCCTCTGCTTCTGTTTTCCTTCACAGTGACAACTGAGGACCTATCTCTTCACACAAAATATCCGAGACCACACAATACAAGCAGCTTTATAAAGAGAAAACGTCCTCAGACTGGCTGGGACACAAACAGAGAAAGAAATGTTATCTCCCTCAGGATGGGACGCTTGCAGGATGGGAAATCTGCACATGAACGACTGTTCAGTGATCTCCACGCACACTGTCCAAGTGGCCTCCCAACATGGGCGCCATTTTTACATCCACCGCACGGACATGGGAGCTTCCTTGCCTGAACCCAGGGCCACAGATGTCCTGGGAGAACCTTTCAATTTCAACCCTGGGCTAGAGTCTGTGGAAACTGGACAACAGAAGGCTGCCGTCCTCAGAACAAGGCCATTCCCACTAAACTCTGGAGTGAGAAGACCCTGCAGAGCTTAGCAGGAGCTAAGCGAAGCAGAGAAAGAATTTGTTGATAGATAAGAGGTTGGGTTCTGTGAAAGATGACGATGGAGCAAATACTAGTGAACGTTAGTAAGAACCCAAGAACGAGATCCAAATCGCGACCGCCTCGGCCAGTTACAACACGGACCTTGAGGACCCCAGCTTACTCTCTGCCTCTTATTTAAACCTATTTAAACCTATTTCTGGTACGTGATGTCTGCCCTTGTTTAGAGACCTTCCTTGAGGGAGGTTCTGTCACCTTTCCCACCCAACCATTCCTTCTAGAACGTTCTAAAGTTCTTCTTTAGATTGACTTCAATTTCCCCTTCGGTATCTTATCACGACCTTCTGCACTGTAAAGCCACCTCCTCCTTCCACAGGTAAGACTTCAGACTTCTGACCCTGCAGCTCCTGTCAGGCTGCTGTCTCTTTCCCCTAGCGGGTCTGCTCACCACAGTTCCCAATCTCTGAGCTCTACACACCTCTGCACTTCCCCAACGTGTAATATCATGAAGGTCGTGCCCTGGGGCAACAGGTCTTGCTGGCAAAGGAGGAGTCTGATAAGATGAGCTTCAAGGGGACTGGGGGCTACTGCTGCATTTCAGAACCACCCCGGCCCCCCAACACACAATTCTCTCCCATCACATTATCCTAGGAGAATGTCTGGGACTGAGCTTGGTGAGGAGGGGCTGAGATTTTGGATGACAACGCTGATAAAAAGAGGCTGAGGTCCCGAGCTACTGAGTGGCTATCAAAGGCTATCAAAGGCAGTCTGATAAAGATTCTTCATTCTTCACCCGGACCGTAGGATTCAATCGTTCCCGTAGGATTCAAGCATTCCCGGTGTCGGCCTGTCTCTGCCCGTGGTGTACTCTCACCCCTGGAGATTATCTCAGTAGATCAAGCTCTTCTCTGAGATGTATTTCGCTACAACCATATTTATTATTTCTCACCTTTCTGTGGGCTCCTATCTTTTCAAGACATGAGGACAAGATGCAAAGGTATTTCTTTGTGTCCACGATGGGACTTGGTCTACTATTTTGTATATGCTGATTGGTGTGATTAAGAACTTTCTAAAGTTTGGAATAAATCATCCATGAATTCGGTGGTAGGAAAAGAATTTTTTCCTGTCTGAATCTTCTTTTATATTATCTCAATCCTTACATATGCTGAAGAATTTCTGAAATTGTTTTACCACCTTTACAGATGGCCTATGTCCATCAACGTGTAAGATACACTTTTTTTTAAGGAAAATGCAGGTGAACTTTGGGGTTAACCGGCACAGCATGTAGAAAGCACTCTGGTAAGCTGCAACCCTTTATAAGATGTAAAATACCAGTAACACACCTGGCAGAGGTGATGCAGGAAGGCTGCTCCTGCGAGAGCCGACGTCCCCAGCTAGGCGGCCCTACCTGTCCCGGGATCGCGGAGCTCCTGCCGGGTCCCAGGGGCGCCTTAGAAAGAGGTGTCACTCGGTGGCAGAACTCACCTTCGCACTTGAGCAGGAAGAAGTCGGCGCTGGGGCTGAAAGAGGCGCTGAAGTAGGCGCAGTTGTCCACCAGGTCGCAGGACAGGCACTGCCTGTTGAAGCTGCCCACCGTGTTGGCGCTGCAGGGACAGGGAGCGGGCGGGGCTGTCACCAGGGACGAGACCCTTGGCTCCGGCCCCCGCGCCCAGCACGCTGGCTTCTCTCCCACGCGGTCATCTGGGGGCGCCATCCTCCCACCTGTCTCCTTGCTGGCACGCCTCGAGTGCTGGCTCTGCTGTCACCCTCCCACGGGGCCGTCCTAAGGGCTGCCCACCCCCAACCCGCCAGGAGCGCTCAGCATGGCTGCTTCCTGGGAGTCATGCAGGCCCAGGAGTGTCCTGATGGGAGTGTCGAGTGTGGGGTATTATTTCTAGTGCCTCATCCCTCTGAGCAGGCGACTAGCACTTTAGGAACAGAAGCTACGTGTTCTGGATCTTTCACTTCCCATAGAGCACCTGCCGCCAGGACAGGACAGGGCAGGGCAGGGGCTCCAGAAACAGCAGCGGTGGGGGGCTCCGGCCGCTGCCACAGCCGGTGAGGAGGTGCCAGGGGCGCTTCTCACCCCTTCAGGTGTCACCCAGGACCGCTCTGGTCAAGCACAGTTTCACGTCAAGAAGGCCTAACATGTTTCCAGAAGCTATAAGATACCGAGGCATCTTCCAATAAACCTGGAAGAAGTCCAGGTCTGAGTGTGTGGCGTGGGAAGGCTGCTAATGTGAAAGCGGTCTACAAGAGTGAAGACGCTTCACGGGAGACAGGACAGGTCAGAGGAAGCGCAGGCGGCCGGCCTCCATCGCCTTGGCTAATTTGGTGACGGGACTGGTGGGATTATCCTGGTAGACAAGCAGAGATGAGCCGTCCACAGAGAGGAGCAGACCTGTGACGGCGTGGAGTTTCCTCTGCCTCCGAAAGGCAGTGCCTCTCTCCCTAGTGCAGCCCTTACTGTCAGCACAGGGGCCGGCGGACGGGAGAAGGGCCGTGCACCCGATGGGGCTTCCCCGACTCCCGGCGGTGGGGGAGGGGAGCCTGGCATTGGCTCCGTCCAGGCCACGAGGGCCACAACGCAGTAGCGTCCTCTTAGGTGGCCCTCATGTGTGGGGCAGGAACCAGCTGCCCCCTACTTCCCGTCTGGAGAGCAAAGCGGTGGAGGTGACAGTGCCTCACGCCCTCCTCCGCTTTACTGGCAGAAAACTCCTCGGGAGAACCCCACTTCAGAAGCACAAGTTCTCCCTGGTGAGAACGGGAACTGGGGTGGGGGGCAGGCCACGAGGTTTATGCTGAAGGCGGACGGACCCTGGAGAACACCTTGTCCTCTGCAGGATGCAGAGGCCAGCCCTGCTCCGCCCCCTTCAAGACTGCGGAACTCAGCCAGCGCCCACGTGGAGGAGGCCAGGGCAGTAGGGCCGACCCCACCCCAGTCCACCCATACATTCCCAAACCCCAGTTCCCTCCTGTGAAACCCCGGCCAAGAGTGATCCTTCCAAGTTCAGCTTCGACTAAGGTGAAAGGAAAGGCTGTCAGACGTCTCCCGAGGGAGAGACTCAGTCTGGTAAAAGCAGAAAACTACGATAATGCCTCCAATGTGGGGGCCTCAGCATCTTCGGTTATTTCTCCCCAGCCTGCGTTACGTGTGCTGGCGCCTCTCTCTGCCGCCCCCCCCCCCCCCGTGTACTGCTGACGGTGTGACTCTGGAATGCGAAGCCTCTGGCGGGAGACCGCTGTGCGCGGGGGTCGGGGGACGCACCTGTACAGCTGGCGTCTCCTCGGCAGGTCCTCCGTGCTGAGGAAGTAGCTGCAAAGACCAGCAGGCGCACGGCAGTTAGCTGGCTGCGGGGCAGGTGTGTTTCTGCACGCCAGGCTCGGCCTCCGCAGACCTCCCCGAGGACGCGCTGCTCAGGGTCCACAGAGAGAACGTTCCCGCCCGGGGCCAGCTCCACGCTGGATGCAAAGGCTGATCCCGTGACTCGGCGGCCCATGCCCGCCCGGGACCCCTGCGTGGGAACCCTGGCTCCCGCGGGGACTCCCCCACTGCCTGAGCTGAACCCTAGCTCTTCCTGCCACTGACCACACAGCCTGGAGGAAGGCACTTGACCTCTTTCAGCCTTGGCCCTACTTCTCTGAGAAGTGGGGAAAGCAGTGAACCTGCACCAGGACAGGAGCGGCTGTCCTGAACGAGGCCAGGCTCACAGCACCCTTGGGTCCCGCCCGGAACCAGCAAAGGCTCAGCCACCCTGCACGGCCACCGTCTCAGCCACAGGCCTGGCTGCAGGCCCGACATCCTCACGGGGACCTCGAGACGTGGGACGTGGGGGTGGTCGGGCGGGAATCTGAGGGCGCACTTTCGTGAGTAACTAGGGCCCCGGGGCGCTGCCCAAGAGGGAGAGTGCTGAGCACCGTGTGAGAGGAGGAGAACACAGAGAGGCGGCCCCGCACGCGCACTCACATCTTACTCCGCGTCTCGTCGTAGGCCAGGATCTTGGTCGCGTCCCAGTCCCCGGAGGTGATGGACTGGATGTTGTCGTTGCTGCTGTTAGGCTGGAACACAGACAGGACATGGGGTGGGGGGGCTGGGCCTAGCCTCGCTTCTCGGCCCGGGGCCCTCGGACACAGGATGACCAACCTCGGGCCGCAGCCCCGCCCCTTCTCTGAGTGCCCGCCTGGAGGGGCAGCGCCCGAGGCTGCCCTGCGATCAACCAGCACCCAGACCAGCAGCAACTCCCACCGTGAGCTCCGTGTCTTAAGCGTCAGTGTTTCACACGCTGCTGACACTGTTCCTTCACCACCTGTAAATCTGATCTGCAGGTCAGTATCACAGGGCGACAAGGAGGGAGGAAAGAGAAATATGGAGGAGTGGATGAGACATGGCAAGGAAACAGAGAAAGAATAAAGAGAGGATGGGAGGGAGGGAAGGTAGGAAAGAAGGAAGGAAGGGAGGGGGGAGGGAGGGAGGGAGGAAAAAACCCCCCTGGGTCTTCGTCATTCTCCACCGTTCTTCACAAGGACGGCTTGAAACTGTTTATTGCGTGTTGTGTGTTTGCACACACTGTCTCTCTCCCTAAGTGCCTCCCAGAGCAGAAGAGTTATGACAACAAATCATAACAGAAGGAGAAAGACGTGACCATCCCAACAGGAACGGGCTGTGAGATGCTGAGGCATGAGCCACAGGCCGGCTGTTCTAAGGGCGGGTGTCCCGGGCATGGGTGCAACGCGAATGCTGTTAAATCAGGCACGGGGCCCGAGGCTCACACTGTGGGGCACGGGGACCCCAGAAATGGCCTCGGGAGAAGGGAGAGCCTGTGCGGGCAGGACCAGGCGGGAGAAGTGGGCTGCCAGGGGTTCCGGAGGGCAGTGGGGGCCGAGGGGCTCCTGGGGAGGGGCCCCCCAGAGGGGGGGGGCCCTGCCCCTGCTGGATGACTAACGGGTCCTCAGCCCATGCTGGTCACAGGGGTGAATCTGAGATGGGCTGAAGGGAACATCCCAGCACTTTAAGTCTTGACTGAAGTGATCCCAAATGAGAAACCAGGAATCTGGGGCCACAGTACACAGGCCTTAGGAATAAGAGCTGAATGTCAGCCCGTCTGCAGACGTTCTGTAAGTCATGCAATAAGTGGCTTAAAAACGAAAACATCCGTATCTAAGTCTCTGAGTCAAAGTGGTCCCTGTCCTGGAGCCACAGCCGAGTTTCCGTTCCTGTTCTATCAAAGCTGCTCCATGTGGGATGTTCTTGGAATTTTGCTTTGGAGATTGCCTTTTGGGTCATGTCATGAATATAAATCTTCTACTTTATATCTTTTTGATATTTTTGATATCTTTTTGATATCTTATCAAATATTTTTGATAACTTTTTTAAAAATAAAATTTTATTCACATGCCCTGATCTCCTTAGACTCTGCTTCAACATGGAAGCCCCACTGACTGAGGCTGAGGGCAGTGCTGATGGGAGGCCCACAGCCCCTCACCTTCCTCCTAAGGGCAGGGTTCCCTGAGTGCAGCTCCGGGGTCCCACCCCGTGGGGAGGGGGCAGGCCCCCGGGTGCCTGCTCTGCAGGAGGTGGCATTCGCCAGGCTGTCTGCCGTTTCCAAACGCACCTATATTCAGCTCCCACATTCCCTGCTCAGTGATGCTCTGCTCTTATCCTGTGGCTGCAGCATAGGGAACGGCAGTGCATCTGGCTGACCGTGGAGGTGGGATGCCCTGGGGCCACGAGGACACTGTGCCCGGCCCCCAGGACCCAGAAGAGGGAGGAAAGGCCAATGCGGGCAGACTGACAAAGCGGTCTACACACACGTGTCCTGTGCTCAGACCCAGCAATGCACCCAGTGTCCTCTGATATCGTCAGAAGTGTCATTCGTATTTTTGAGCATTACAGGAGGCACGAACGCCATCCCTGCCCAGTCAGGACGGCTGGCTCATGAAGGCCCCGTCCGTCCCCACGTGGGGACCCGCCTTCCAGTTTCAGGGCCCGGCTTCCCCCAGGGAGCACTTAGCTCCCCTGCTGAGGAGGGGGGAAGGCCCCCAGGGCACCCCCCAGCAGAGCAGGAAACTAGGGAGCTTACCTGGGAGGAGGACACCATGATGTGGTAGAACTTCCCCTGCCCCCCCTGCGGGATCGCTCGGACAAAGAAGAACTTCCGGCCGTCCTTGGAGAACACTGGCTCTTCATTCTGCGGACGAAAGCCATCGATTAAGTCTACAGACTGTTTTGAAGGGGTTGAACCAGGATAAACTACATTTTGAGATACACTTTCCATGTAATTGCCAATGAGAGATGCAGTTGAAAGGCTAAAGGCTGTGTGGGGCCTTTTCTCTCCTTGGGAATCACGAGTCAAAGCTCCAGTTTCCTAAGAAAATAATGAGAAATTCAGAGGAATTCAGAGGCAACTGCCTAAGCAGAGGCGGACACACAGGCGTCCCCTGGTTCACAGGACACCCAGCTCACCAAGCCAAACAGGAACTCAGCACTAAAGAAGTGCAGGGCTGGGCTCCCCGCTTACCTGTGGCCCCTGCAAAATTCTCCAGGGGCATTTTTTTAAAAACCATTTTTAAAAACTGAAACATAGCTGATTTACAATGTTGTGTTAGCTTCAGGCGTACAGTAAAGTGATTCAGTTATATATAGATACCTATTTTTTCAGATTCTCTTCCATTATAGGTTATTACAAGACAGTTCCCTGTGCTATACAGCAGATCCTCGCTGTATATTTATTTTATACATAGTAGTGTGTGTATATTAATCCCAAACCCCTAATTTATCTCCCCCCCAACCCCGCTATCTCCTCTGGTAACCATAAGTTTGTTTTCTATGTCTGTGAGTCTATTTCTGTTTTGTAAATAAGTTCATTTATATCACCAGGGGTGTTTACTATCTATCATAATTCTGAACAATCACAAACCTGATTTTGCCTAAAAATGAATTCTAGTCTTTCCATCCTGTCTTTTGTTCTTTTATTTAATAAAATCCACCTCATACTGAATAGCCCACCAAGGAGACAAGAGAAAAGAAAGAAAGAAACCCGCAGCAAACAAGGACAGATTCTGCACGTTCTACGACGTAGGTGAGAGCACACGCTATTCCCAGGGACTCACTGTGCTTATTACGCGGCTTCTAACGAGAAGGAAGTTCCACACGGGCATTTACTAGATGGCACATGTCTGCTTGGATCTACTGTCACTGTTCCCTGGAAACAAAATCAGCATTCCCAGTTTTCCCTCGGGGGAAGAATTCCAGGCTGCATTCAAAGCCAGCGCCTGTAGCATGTTGCTGCATCTTGGCCTGGCCCTCACCTCCAAAGCTGAGAAGCCACCACTCAGCCCCCAGCCACCCCCTGTGGGTTGGCTGTCGCCTTAATAGGCAAGAGGGATTGGCGTCTCAGCCTCTAGGAAGCTCCAGCTTGAAAGTTTCCATCCGTGAACACCAATTAGTTGTGGCTACGATACACATTTTCTGATTCAAGGAGCTCCACGCTAACGTGAATGAGAACAAATGGTAAATAAACCCCAGCTGGCACGAGGAAAACTCATTTCCCTGCAGGGAATGAATACATGCAAATATGATACGCCCAGAGAAATAAACCAACATGCGATTAAAGTGACATTCCATCTCATGAATATCCGCAGTAAAATGAGACCTCTAATCTGCAAATATTTACTTTTCTATTTAGGGCTGGAAGTACGGTATTTAAAAACAGAGGAAACGGAAAAACCAGCAGTAAATCTGGCTTTTTAAATGTACTTTTATTTGCCAACATCAGGATGGATACCGCAATACTGCTTCCGTTTTCTGGGGAAACGTCTGTACTTTTGGCAGAGAAAAATACTATGAGTAAATGTAATAAATAATTAATTCAGGCCTGAAACATTGCTTTTACACTGAGAAGGACTCAGGCATTGCAACGTCATCTTTACATTGATCCTGGGAACATTCCACAGCCGGCAGGTGAAGGACCAGCCTTTGAACCTCTCTGAGACTTGGTTTCTCATGTAGTAAATGTATATTTAGTGAAAAAGTGCAATGACTTTTGACTACGAGACCTGGATTTTAATCCTGGTTCTGACTTTCCTGGATTTGAGGAGAAGCGTTTCTAGCCCTCTGGGTAACAGGGCATTTAGCGTACCAGGCCCTGCCTGGTTTCTCCACCTCCAATTGAGCAGATCTATGAAGAATGAGTCCTTTTTTTGGTGAAAGACTTTCCGTGAGCTATTTGTAGACTTCCTGCCCATTCTTTCTATGGTTCAGATACATTCATCTGGTCAATCTCCCTGCCTGAATTTTGAAATCACAAAACCAAAATTCTGGTTAAAGAAGAAAGATTGTCAGAAATTGACCTGCGGGAGTGACTCTTCAAACACAAAGATGGGTCCTGGGTTCTACCCCAAATGGCCTCGGGCCTGCAGGGCCCCTAGTGGACCTGCCCCAGGACTGACTTTGAAGGTCACGGCAGCAGTGATGGTGTGTGTGGGGGGGGGAGGGGCTGCCTATTTCTCCAGAGTATTCCCAGAGGAGAGGGAACTTGGGGGGTCTTCACCTTCTTTTTGTGGGCTTGTGGGGGATCTTTGAGGGGTTCACGCTGAGGCCTAGGAAGGAGACGGGAGGAAAAGACGGGGGGCAGGAACAGAGGCTCAGACCATAGCCCCAGGATGTCCTCGCCCACCCCCGTTCCCCTGGCAACGAGCACTCAGAAGACCCCATGATCTTTGCGCCCTGGGTCTCCCCAGGGTCAGCAGAACCGTCCAGACCCCAGTCCTCTCCTCCTCTGATGCGGCCCTGGGCAGCAAGGGTGAGCCCTGCGGCCCCTTTGTGATGACGTGCATGAAGTGGCTGCCAGCAGCTTCCACGGTGGCAGATGGCAGGTTGGCCTTAAATAAATTCCTAACTCGCCCCCCAGGACCTTGCAGGGTGGTGAAGGATGCAGCAACAAGACAGCTTATTTTTGAAAAAGAGGGTCCACAGATTCCTTTGTGAAAAATCTCTTCAAAAGGAAAGTCATGAGAAACTGTTTGAAACTGGGTTTCCTACTGACCACGGTGCTGAAGGAACAGATGGAGACACGGGCTGAGCGGTGCTCGGCAAGGTGGGGCTCCGTGGGGTCCTGTGCCCGCCTTGGGGGTGGCTGGCACCTTGGGCCACTGGCTGGACTATGTATTTTTCAAAGGCTGTTTAAAAAATGTTATCTGTTGCCTAATAAGTGCTTTAAAGTTTACGTATTGAAAGTGTAACAATTATACTTTTACTTTCTGCTGGTTTTTAAGTGCTGACTTGATCTTGTTTGGAACGACCTGGTTTCCCAAATCCAGGCTGCCTGTCCGGTGCTTGGCTGGTTTCTTAGGTGGGTGACGGGATGTGTGTTCTGAAAATACACAACAGTCTTGCCCACGGCGGTGTCTCTGTGTCCTGTCCGCAGAGCTTACGAGGACGACAGCTCGAGGCCCAAAGCACAGGTGACCAGTGGGGACATGGGTCCCGCGAGTGCCGGACAGGAAGGCAGGGGCAGGAGGGGACCCTCTGACCCTGGCTTTCCCACAGCCCTGTGCCCCGTGAGAAGCAAACCGCTGGCTGCTTTGGTAAGTCCATCCTCCCTCCTCCAACTCAGACACAGACCGCACGTGGCTTGAGGCCCAGTCCTGTAGCCGGGCCTCGGGGCCCCATGCACGCCCACTCCCAGCCCTGTGAAGGCCCTTCCACACGCCCTGGGGACACAGTCTAGGACTCCGCCCACATTCCGCACTTGGGGATCCGTTCAGCTCTCTCCCTTTCTACACCAAGACATCTTTGAGAGCTGCTCTAGCGGATTCATTTCTTAAAAAGTCGAGCATGACACAAACAAAAACATGTTAATACCAGTGAGCCCTTCGTGGCATCGAGCACATTCACCATGTCGTGCAACCACCAGCTCGGTCCAGTTCCAAACCACTTCTGTCAGCCCAGTTGAGCCCAGACTCCATCAAGCTGTTACTCCCCACCCCAGATTCCCAGCCCCTGCAGCCACCAAACAGCCTCCTGCTTGTATGACTTTTGTTGACCTGGGCATCTCTCGTAAGTGGAGTCACATGGCGGGTGGACCCCTTTCACTCAGCACTGTGTTCTTGGCAGGACTACTCACAACACCAGAAGGCAGAAACAACCCGAATGTTATCAACGGATGAACGAACTGTCGTATGTCCACACCGTGGAACACTGTTCCACCATAAGGTGGCTGACATGCGCTCTGTGGAAGTGGTAGATTCTTGTTTTTGAAATCCACAAAGCCTAGCATGGCGCCTGGTACAATCCATATGTATTAGTTGAAAAGATGGCTACGTGTATAATGGATTTTTTTCTGACTCTTGCATCTCAATGTCTTTGGCATTTTGTGTGACTATAAGAGGAACGTCGTAATATTACTTCCGATACTTGTGCTTGTATCATTGGTCCAGGTGGTATTCAAGAACTTCTCAGTGGAACTCCTCAACGAATACTTTAAGACACCCAAGCACAATCTGATTCTGGATACTTCTCAGCATGGACTTGGCATCCAAACTTGGACACAGGAAAACCCAAGTGGCCACAGTGAGCACTCTTCTTTTGTGTCAGGCTGGCACAGAGCAGGAAAAGGACATAGTTAAAGGCAATCACGCCCATTGATGAGGGCACCACCCCTGAGATAACTGATGGGCGGCTGGGCCAGATTGCTGATTCCACAGGTAACAGAGGTGCACACAGAGTTTCTAGAATGTTCTTGGAGAGCCACTGGTAACAGTCGCATTGTCCAGCTTCACTTCCTTCCCATAAACGGAATCTGTCCTATCAATAAAGAAGCACACCTGTGCCCTCTCCACCATCATTCTGAGACTCAAACCCGATTAGATTTTTCCCACAGAATTTTCAGACGATTTTCATCCCATTCGGTAGGATAAGAAGGAAGTGAGCTTGCAAACCCTCCACCTGTGCTTTCTAACCTCAGGGCGTGGAATGAGAAAAAAATAATTAAAGAAAGAAAATACCAGAGTCGAGAGTTTCATTTCTTGTGTGGGTTTAATTTTTCTGTCAGGGTGAGCACTGCATGTCTCCTTTGATTCCCTCCAGTTCCTCAAGCCTGTTTCACGTGCATCTCTTATCCAAGGCGGGGACGGAAAATTCAGGGGAGGCTCTAAAGTCAGGTCCCCAGGAAGACTCAAGCTGAACTGCACGGAATCCACCTCAAAGGAGGCATCCACGACCCACGCCGAGAAAAACAGGAACGTCAACCCCGTTCCATTTTCTTTGACTGAAGTAGGTTAAATCTAGGCAACTCCTTTCAACGCACCAAAGGGACATCACCTAACTGAGAACTGAGATCTCACTGAACACTGCGCGTTCTCAAGAGCAGGTATTTTCCAGCCCTCTTGCATGGAGGCCACAGTTCTCCAGCAGTGCTGGGGCCTCAGGGAAGCCAGGTGGGCTGAGTGGCTCTGCTGCCCCCCAGAGCCTCTCTCGCGCGCGCGCGTGTGTGTGTGTGTGTGCGCGCGCGCGCACGCGTGCATGTGCGTGTCTACCTGGGGCTTCCTGTAGGATTTAACGTGAGAAGCCGTGTTGTAAACACTGGGAAAGGACCTGGTGGCTGATGTAGGCGGACAGTGTGGGATTTGCATGCGGAATAGTTACCTGTCTGTGGAGCCAGGCTTCACTTTCATCCTCGTGTTTCTGAAACGAAATAAGAGCATTAGAGAAAGGAGTTTTCGCACATATTGTGTCTGCGACCAGCAGTGTAGAAACAATTGGATTCCCCTCCATGGTAGCTGCACAAACTCAGGAAGGGGGCCAGCCCTGCTCTGCCTTGTCTCATGATGTGGCTCAGAGCTGAGCACGAGTGTTCCCCAAACAGGAAAAATGTCACTCTCCCAGCAACGAGGACAAATCCACGGGGGGTGTGAATCCTTTGGAAGGCGGTGCATTTCTACCATTTGGTGGTCACCCCTGACCAGACACATGCCCGTCAGACGGTCACCGATGACCACACACGCGTCCACTAGATGGTCGCCAATGACCATCTAGTGACATGTGCCCATTTAAAGGCAAATCTCAGGTGCTGCATTATTTTAGGAATTTGCGTGCATGCGTGCATGTATGCGTGTATGTGTGCATGTGCGTGGGTGTCTGTGTGTACATGTGTCAAATTTCCAGTTCACAACAATCCTGGCAGACCAAAACATTAAAAGGACTTAAAAAGCATATGAAAAGTAAATCTCAGAGAACTGTGTGGAAAGACATATAATGGGAGACCAAACACACCAACCAAACCACCAGGAATAGCTATTCAGCCGCATGGGCCGTGGACCTGTGCCTGGGGCAGGTCTGTTCTTTATCTGTGGACTCTAACCACGGGCAGGCTGGAGTTTCACTGCTGACTCTCACAAGACCGGGGGTCCAGATGCCAGAAGACCTGGGTTACGAGCCATTCCCAGCTTCCCAGCTGTGAGTCCACTCTTTCCTTCCTTCCCCTCAAGAAGCCCATCAGAATAACCTGGAATCTGCTCTCAATTGTATTAAAAATCAAGTAAATCACTGGCCCGCTGAGAACACTGCTCTCAGCGACAGCTCACTGCGACTCCCCTCAAGATTGTCATTGGGCCACGGGGTCAGAGCTGCTGTCGGGGGCCCCGAGGTCACAACACAGCTGCTCTGCAAGCCTTTCTCCTCCTCAGTTGGGAAATAAACATTTAGGGCCAAAAAAGAGTTTCTGAGAGAACTGCCTGGGTTTATTAACTGATTTTAATGGATGTTTCTTTACCCAACACAAGGAGCCCTGCCCCCTTGGGGCTCAGGGATTGTGGAGGACGCAGCCCTTGGGCCAGGGGCAGGCCGCCTGAGGGGCTGAGACAGCCGTGGGTCACTCCCTTGCTTCGCAGGGTTGCCAAGCCTCTCTTTAGATTTTCGTTCCTCCTTGTCTCCCCTCCCTTCGCCCCCTGTAACCACCCACTAAGTCAGCCTGAGGCCCTAGGAACACACTGGCCTCACCGGCGACTTTCAGACATGGTGCCGACCGTCCAGGGTACCAGCTGGCTCTGGTCAGTGAGGGACAGAGAGGCTGAAATGGCCAGGCCAGGTTGCAGTTCCAGGTCCTGGGGCCTCAGGCTGGACCCCTCCCCTCTCTAAACGTCAACTGGAAAATGAGAAGCAGCCCCTGTGTGAAGTAGCCATGGGCAAGGATAAAGGGAAGTGAGAGCTCTGTGAGCTGGGGGCTGAGAGGATCACCCCGAGTCTGCAGCAGTCCTCAATTCATCCACAAGGTGACACCCAAACAGAGACCCACATGCAGGCTTCACCTGGACCAGCAGGAGCTGAAGGTGCGTGTGGCTCAGAGATGAGCGTGATGCCCAGGGCTGCTCCCCGCCGTCCAGTCAGCCCCTTCCCCATACCTTGGCGCAGACCCCGGTGGTGGCATCGCAGAGGGTGAGGATGGACACGTTCTGCGCCCGGCTCAGCCAGTTCACGGCGACCTTGGTGCTGGTGGCCCACTTGACCATGGTGATGTAGTGCTCCCTGAAAGCACGAGATGCATGGTGAGCGGTGATGCAGGGCCCTCGAGGACCAGAGACACCGGCCCAACCTCGACACTGGGCCAACGTGGGGCGTGTGGGGGATGAGCCCCCCGGGGAGGCCCAGCAGGAACTGGTGCTGGGATAAGCTGGCGGGGGTGTGCTTCTCTCCCAGCTGCCCCCCAAGAGCTGTGCGCCCCTGCACCGGGCCAACACCCAGCCGTCCGACCTGTCCCCTGGGGCTGGCCTGTGCTTCTGCCCCTCGGGTGCTGTAAGTCATGCTGGGCATCGCTGCCCACTGACCTGGCTTTCTCGTCACGGTCCAGCCAGACCCCAACTCCACGTGGCTGGAAGCGGTGAGGACGGCTCTTGAGAGGCCGACAGAGCAAGAGCCAGGAAGGGCTCTGAGAAGAGGGCCCCTTGGGGAGGGTTAACCTGTAACTCCCCCTTCCCCTCCCCATGGGCTGAGCCGCGGAAGCCTCAGTCTTCCTTTCCCTAAGTTCCCAGGGGCATTCTCGAGCTAACTAGGGAAACTGGTTCCCAGCTCTGGGCGCCCGGTGGACTTGATGTGACACCCTAGACGTCACACACTTGCTTTCACCCAAACCTGAACACCCACAGTGTACCCGGCGGTGGCGGGGGTGTGGGGTGGGAGGGTACTGGGGCTCCCAGTCCTTAATTGAATTACCCAGAGCCCTCCAAGAATGGAATTTTTAGGAAAAAATGTACACTTAAGAGTTAGAAGGAAATGATGGGAAAATAACTGCACAAAAATAATATCCTCAGGTGAATTCCGAGACCGTTCTTTCTAGAGGCCCGAGAACACATGCCTCACCACCTGCCCCGACTCTCTGTAGTGAGATCTCGTGTTCAGAATGATGGCTTCATGTCTGACAAGACCCTTTATCACTAAGATGCAGCACGTTCACTGGCTGATACCGGGCCAGCTGGAAGGAGAACCAGCACGTTCAGTAATTATCGTCAACAGAAGAGTCTAGATGACCAGGCGCTTTCAGATAGGCTTCAGCTAACAGGGGATTAAATCGCCGTGGCGCCCATTTCTCGAATCTGCCTGTTAATCACAGTTGTTGTTAATTTAACCAAAGCCAAGAGCACCTGGCACACACGGTGGTGGAGGCCTCTGAGCCGTGGGGTGGGGAGGGTGGGGAGGGCAGGCCCTGGAGCGCGAGACACAGGCTCCATGAATTCGCTGAGCACGTGGTGGAGAGTCGTTCAGCGCAGTCCAGCGCTTACGCTTTTCCACCTCCTCGATTTCTGTGATTTTCTGAACTCCAGCTGTTCCTGTTCTTACCATCTGCTCCGGGGACCCTGGGCCTGCATGTTTACGGGATCCCACCCTGTCCTCTCACGGCTCCGGCTCTGGAAGTAACACAGCCTTGTAGCGGCTTCTGTGGCTCCTGCTTTGCTATTGCCGCTTCACCGCCGGGAGGACTGGAGCCACGTCTCTAACGACGGATGGGACCATCGCCTGCATGTCTGCAGACATGAGACATGTCCGGTCTGTGCCCAGCCCATGCTGCACATGTAACACTTTTAATTTTTAATTAAGTCATAGATGGGCTCTATGCCCTGTCAGACAGACACTGAAGAGGGCCTAGCACTGAAGGGCCTGGTGGATGGACCCAAGTTAACTCCCGTTTTTGGATCCGTTTGACGCAGACGTTCCTGTCCAGGTGTGATATGAGGTTACGGAGACAGGCTGCACTTAAATATATCCCATCTAGATGAAATCAAGGAAGGCAAAGTCAGATCTCCCAGGATGACTGTTTTTTTCTGTGGCCTTCATACTATTGATAATTAGGGGAGTCCCTAATCTTGTTTCCATTTGCCGGAAATATTTCTTCTCATTTTTATGGTGTTCTTTTGCATAATCTTCATTTAGGCCAAATATGAAAGAAGAAATTATTCTGACATGGTTAAAAGGTGAGGCTGACTGCGTTCAGTGCTACTGTGATCGGTATGAGGGCCACAAACAACGAGGCTTTGCGGTGGGAGGGGGATGGGGCTCAACTCCAAATACAAGAAGGAAAGTGTAAACTTCCTGCCAAGGAGCAGGTGGGGGCCAGTGGATGGACAGTTACTAAGAGGAAACATCAGGGATAAAGGGGCTTCTGGCCAAACTTTCTCTTGCTGAAGGCAGGCCAGGTGGCCAGACAACCTCTGGGGGAGGTGGGGCTGAGAAAGGTGATCAGACATTGAGGGTTGGAGGATCCTGGCTGCAAGTGGGTGATGCAAACACACCTGGAAATGTGAATGTCAAGGCCTGTTTGCGGAGAGAATTCAGAGGAGCTGGACTAGAGTTTGGTCCAGAAAGAGACAGTCAGTGATTACAGACTATTCTCAGTGTTTCCATGTCCTAACTCGATATGAGAACCATTGTAAGTGGAAATAAAAAGATGAATGCAAACCTTCTCTTTCTGGTAAGAAACTCCTGAGTGATACCTTTGGAGCGAATCACACAAGAGCATCACTGAGCTGTGAGGCTGGCCTGGGGGTGGGGCTGGGCTGGTGGCATCAACGCAGTCGTGTGGCCAACTAACCACTTTAGTGTTTGTGTTTCAAGCTGCCGCCAGAAAACAGGGAGATGCAGTGGCAAACCCGCTTCATGGGGCTGGAGAGAGTCAGGACCGTCACCCTGCAGAGGCTCGCTACTTTCTAGAGGTTCCCTACTTCCTAGAAACGCAACCACGTGCCCAGTTAAAGTGAGCGCTAGGAGCCTCGCTCTCTCTCTTTTATTACTTTCCTAATTTGTAATATGGGACATGATTTACAGAGGAAAAAAATAATTGTACTGCAAATTAGGGCAGTTAAATGTGGACCCACTTTGCCTAGTTCAGTGGAACCTTGGCCAGGGTGTGGACTGTCACCTGGACGAAGGGGCGGGATGCCGCTTCCTGCAGAGACTGGGAGAGCTTTGCTTCTACAACTAATACTGTATAGAACTTGAATCCTCAGTTCCTTCATCTGTGTAGCAGGAATTTCACAAAATTTGGATGGCACCTTTAGAGACTTTTATGGTGATGAAATATAATGAGAAATATTTTTTTAAAACTCTTGAAACAATAAAAATCATTAAGGACTCTGTAAAGATGACATAATAACCTCTCCGAGAATAAGTGGTGCTTCAGGACCTTTGCTTCCAATCGCATTACCCTTCATCAAACACCTTGGGAACCTCTCACCTGACCTGCCTTCAGAACGTCACAGCCATACAGGTCTCATTACCTGTACAGCAACATCTCGTTTTTAATCAATATTTCCTAATTCTGTGAGTGGCATCAATGACTAGACTTGGTGCCAAACAAGTTTTGGTTATCTTAAGTAATCAAGTCTGCCTGCAAAGATAAAGCATTGCCAAGAATAAGCTGATTTTAAAGGTGCACCCGCAGCTCTTTGGTGATGAGGTGTAGACCCTCACAAAGAAGCGATGCTTTGGATGGAATGACATTCTTCTGCAACGTAAGGCTTCGTAGCCACACCATATGTTAATGGAAAGGAAAATAAAACAGGGACTCCCTTAATGTAGCTTTCCCTAAGCAGAAAGCCTTGACTGGAGTAAGGGAAGGTCTCCTGGTTCCTAACACATTTTCCATCTTCCCTAACTGCAAAGCTGTTAGACTCTGACTCTAAGGCCCGTGGGGAGGGCCCGGGCCAGGCCCGCGTCACGTTACCGCTGACTGTCTGGGGAAGGGTCTGTGGCGGCTCCACACGCCACACGGTCGTGTCGAGTGTAGACTCCACAGACACATACAGGCGCCAAGCACACTCACGTCTGGTTAGCAGATCGGAGTCAGCCTTTACCAACTTTGCGTTAAATGTGCCTATAAATACACAGAAAGGTGAAAAGTCATAACGTCACTAAAAATGAACGTTGAAAGCCTCTGGCTGTAACGCAGTTGGAGGTGGATGAAGTCTGGTTGCCCGAGTTTGCTTCACCGTATGAAGCAGCCAGTGGGCAGCAGGAGGAAATGGTTTTTCTCTTCCCCTTTGTCTGATCCTCAGAAACACTGGGCTGGCACAGCCAGAAATCTGGGGAGCCAGACCTTCACTACCTCGGGGTTAACAACATCATAGTTTGCCATGGACACTAATTGACTTAGAATGTCAAAAAAAAAAAAAGATTCCAAGAAGTCAGAGAAAAATCTCAACTCAGCCCAGCAGAGGCACCCAGATAGATATGGGTCAGACTGCGTCTTCCCGAATCCACCCGAGAAGGATTCAGCCAGTGCCGGAGGCTCAGGGAGAGGAGCCGAACGTAACCTTCACATCTCGTCTGTCGCCAAATATCAGGTGTGGGTGGACCTCTCCTTTCTGAGGTGGGGAACTAGGAAGGTCAGACAATACAGACGAGAAGGGGAAATCATACTAGAGATGCAGAAGAAGGACATGACTGTAAAAATATAGGATGAGATCAAAGAGGTGAGATGAGGGGGCTAACAAAACTAAAATTGAAAATTACAGAAATGTGATCCAGAGGAATCGAGGAAAATTTGGGAAGCTCCCCCAGAAGGCAGAGGAAGGGGTCCCAGAGGAAGACGGAGGATGGCAGATGGTCCTCACATCTGAGAACGTAAGTGCTCCTCACGGAAGAACCAGAGTGATGGGAAGAGAGGCAGTCACCAAAGACACCATGAAAGATGCCTACGCAGCTAAGACGTGAATATGCAGATTAAAGGGTTTTCATACTCCAGGGAAACTAACAAAACACCTGAAAACATTCTGATAGACTCTTAGAGATCTATGAAAAAAGAAATGCCACAACAATCCAGTTATAAGCAAATAAGTTTTGAGAGACGACACAAATTTATGCTGATCTCAGATTTCTCTGCTGTTCTGGGTCTAATGGTATTTAATACCTCAATGTGTTTTTAACAACCAATATCTTCTTGATTAAAGCATATCTTCTACTTGAATATACCAATTCAAAAATTCAAAAAATTAAAAACAATTCAAAATTAAAAGCTTAACATGTAAGAAGATGAT